CTCTCTCTCTCTCTCTCTCTTTTGGTTTTTTGAGACAGGGTTTCTCTATGCTTTGGAGGCTGTCCTGGAACTGGCTCTTCTAGATAAGGCTGTTTCGAACTCACAGAGATCTGACTGCCTCTGCCTCCCGAGTGTTGGGATTAAAGGTGTATGCCACCACCTCCTGGCCTGGAGATCAGTTTTTAAATCATATAGATTTAAAGAAGGTAGAACACTCCCTTCTTCAGTGATAGTAATAAAAACACCATATTTATAATATCAAACACTTAAGTGTATATGCAGTATCTCTAATCATAACAAAACCCTGGATGTCAGGTATTAGTATAAATTATATTAATTATATAATTAAACCTGGAAATAGAGCAGAAGTTCAGAGACACAAACTTCTGGAAGTTGTCCAGGAGCAGCTGCTCCAAGACTAAAGCCAAGGTCTGCTGAGTGCCAAGACCAATGCTCCTTCATTTCTAGACTGTGTCCCTGTGAGCCAACTCATTGTAGACACGCCACTGCTGTGATCTTGATCTGCCTGGCATGCTCAGGTACTCACTTCTCTTATTCTCTGTACTACATCTGATCTCCCTCAAGGGACTGGTTTATTACTGTCATCTTCACATTCTCTGGCAATACTCAATAAATGGACAGATTTAAAAAGTAAAAATAAAGCTTCAACTTGTTTAGTATTTATGAAACTATTATTTTATATGCATAGCTTCAACAATCTTGAAACTTGATGCTGATAGACACATTTTTCTGCAATAGCTTTAAGGACAGAAAATGCTGTAGATTCTGAAAAAGCTACTTTTCTACTTATTTCATCCACATGTTTAAATTTCCCTACATACACAATAATACTTTCTATAAATGACAAACAGGTTGTACATGTTATTTTCACAGATCCTCAGGAAACGTGTGTATGATGGTGTCTCATCGATTTCCTATACCTTTTTCTGGACTAATCCCCATGTTTACTCATGGCCTTCATAACTGTCATATGTTGCTTATTCTAAACTAGCTCCAGTCTGTGGAGTGCTTCCTGTATCCTCAATAAATCTTGATTTTTCCCCTTCCCTGGTAATGGAGTAAGACTGTATTTACCATCTCCTTCCACAGTTGAGAAGGGCTATAATACCAAGTCTGTTATAATACCAATAAAACAAACACAAAGCATACACCACTTTTAGGTGTCTGTTCTAGGCTCTAACAGCTTTCCAGCACAATCCTCCATAGTTTTGCTTTGTTAACTAAGAAGGACAAATTCTTGGAGTCACAGTCACACTGGGAACAGGGCTATCCTCCTTCAACCTACATTAGGTAGTGACATAAACAAGATAAACTTTCCTTGGTAGAAGACTTTCCTCTTTCACAGGAAAGAGATGACCATAAGAAAGAATTGACCAGCTTTTATTTTTTATTTTTTTGTTTTTTTTTTAAGTTTTTTTTCATTATTATTTATTAGTTCAAGTTAGGGAACAAGCTTGTTTCACATGTAAGTCCCTTCTCCCTCTCTCTCCCCTCATTGACTAGCTTTTAATGAGAAATGAATGACAATAAAGATAGCTTAGAAATTTGAGGTTTAGAAAAATTATGCTAAACCCAAGATAGAAGGCAAGACTGATAAAAAGCTTTTGAACAACAGAGATCCAGCAAACTGCCTGAACTCTATAAAGTGATTTAGACTATGAAATCTTCTACTTAAATGACATTAAGATGGCCACAGTTAAGCAGCTGATGCCACTCCACTTCTCTGGCAGTCTGGACACAACTGCTGAGGGACAGAAACAACCCAGTGTACATAGAAGGAAGAACAGATACTCAACTTTATGGAGCTCCGGCACATGCCACCATAAGGATGGACTTGAGGGCATCATGGTAAGTAAAATGATAGCACTAGTTATAGGAAGTATTGAGAGTAAGCAAGCTCATAGACACCGGACGCAGAATTTAGCAGGAAGCAAAACAGTCAATGAGTTCTGGTTTCAGTCTGTAAGACAAGGAGTTGAAAAATGACCTCATAACATTGTGACTGTATTTAACAATGAATCATACCCATAAGAAGTCAGTAGGTTTTGTTTTGCATTTTTACATCCTCCTAACACAGGAGTGGGGAGAACAGAGTCACATACTAATTTCCTAACATCAGCATGATGACAATGGGAGATGTGGCCCTTGGGAAGTTTTAGGTTTCGATGAGGTTATGAGGGCAGGGCCCTCACAATGGGATTAGAGTTTGACATAAGCAACAAATAACCTTTTAGTGTGTTAACTACCATTTGCTGGAGTGGTTGGTTCACTCTGACTAATAAAGAGTAAAATCCTTTCTAGAATGTTCCGGACCCTTTCAGCATGGCAAACACACAGCAA